ATAAAGGAAAATAGTTTTGGAATAAGTGCAGTACATCCTGTGTATCCTGTGTTCACTGAGTCAAAACATTAACTTTTTCACGGCTCAGTATAAATGATGCATCAACAAAGTTCTACAGTTTTCAGAAAATGTTTTATTTGTTTTATTTCAGTATGTGGATAAAATGGCAACAAATCAATGGTCATCAGTTATGTAAGTCCCATACTGTACTACACAATGTCCCAGTAAAAATACTATGTGTTCATCTCAACTGACTGCTTGCTATAGGGGGAAGGGTATTATAAATATAAATACTCACAAAAGAAAAAGTTTGAACATTCATCTTGTGATATTTGAACTTTAATAAGGTCAGTTAGAAATAGTTTTTGTCATCGTTCCTTTCAATTTAACTGGCTAATTGTATAAAATAGAATTTAAGGAATGTTTCCACAGTCTGCTTTTCAGGGCACTCCCTGACACAGTGAAGTTCCATGTTAGCTTTGAAAGCACACTGGATGATGAATGTGAGATTTGGAAAAAGACAAGCATTGAGTAACTGATTAAATATAGTAAGTATGCCCAACTGTAAACACAATATATTCAATGTATCTGTTTGTACAAGGCAAATATTTGACCCCGGACTTACCATTTATTTTGATATTTGGATAAATGATAAATGGAATTTTACAATTTAACTCAAAATGAATCTAGAGTCAGAAAATGAACTTGAACAACAATCTAAGACATACAAACAATATTGGCTTAGACATTTTTTTTTAAATAGTCCTGCTGATTTTGTGCTATTATAAATTATAACTAATACGACTTCAATTTTTGCCTCAGGAATGCATACCCAATCTATTGAAGAAAAACAAGAGAGCCATCAAGTCTGCCTCTACGTCTCACCCTCTCACATTATTGGACTTTATGGGATGGTCAGTACAGTGAGTCACTCTAAACCTAAAGAAGCTTTACACCAAGAGTTAAAGCTAAATAAGTCAAAGTAACTCAGAAAAAAAGGATATTTCTTTCTTTGACTTTTACTCATGATTGGTCTGTAAGGCTGGAAACCACCACCGGTCGGTGCGGCTCATGAGGCAGATGTGGATAATAAGCCCCTAAGAGGGGAAACATACACAGAAAGTACTATCACAAATAACGCGTTACGGAGATCACACGTTTTTGTTTATCACAACCTTCATAGCTAACAGCTAGATCGGTCTGTGTCTGAGATGGGCATATTGTTGAGAAGAGATAACCTATACCTCAGAAACACTGAGCATGTGATGCCCAAAAGATTGAAATCATACGCCCCTTCAGTCAGTGTGTGCAATTCTGTAAATACCAGAGAAGAAACATTCGGTTTTATCAGTGTAGAAATTCCACTGCAGAAACTTCCACAAGGTATAGTGTCAATTAGAGTTTTTGGGATTGCTCTAAGTAATGCTTTCAGTTTGGATTTTTGTTTCAGTTTCAATGAAGGGGAAAAACCCTCCCGTGGGCTCTTTCAACATAACTTTATAGAAATACTTAACACATGACATTCCACTCTGGCATATCAGCATTCTATTATTCATATCGTGTTGTTTTTAGTCCCTGGTGCAGAACCTTCCGGAGTGTATTTATATCTCATGTGACCCAACACAAAGAATACATAAATGTCAAACACATGTGCTGTAAACCAGCAAATGTTTTGTAAGCACTTTGTAGTGATAATTGCCTCCAGCAGATACGTTTTCTCCTTAGTTTAGTTTACAACAGGAGATTGTGAAATCATGACAACACAATACTGCTGTTGCTTTTTAGCTCCTTATATAGAAATATTTTGTTTGTCCTCCATGAAGTTGCTGTCGGATGACAGTTTTTGTTGGTCCTTGTATTCGTAAGAGCAGGTACGTGTGGCAGGAAACCTGAGCAACTGATGCCAGGTGTGCCAGCAAACAGTGTGTCAATCCTAAAAGCACAAATCTGACAGGTGATTCATAATTATTAGAATGCCTATAATGTGTGTCACCTTGAAATGTGTGTTGTGTTATGTCCCATGACTTTCCTATCATTCTTGTGTAATTACAAACACTATTATGCAAACACTGCATTTCTTCATGTTTTGGCTCTGGTTCAACTATTTTGACTACATCTGCATCTTCCGTTTACCAGCAAACAAAAACAGTAAGTGGGACAGAGAGAAAGAGAGACAAAGAAAACTAGAGGAGTTGAGAAAAGAGCAGAAGAGTGAGAGAGAACGCAGTGGAAATTGCTTTAAGTTTCTGCTGTTGTAGTTTTTGCATTTCTCTCAAAATTAGCTAGAGTACTGGTTTCCATGTGCTATTCCTTGTGACAGCTTTTCCTATTTTCATAAATTTCAATATTTTGCACTAATCCCATGAATTTATCCTGTCCTGCACATTGTACTGTATGTCAAAACACAGCCATGTTCAGCTTGAAAGAGCTATTTTAAAACACAAACTATTGTCTTAGACAGCACCAATGTTGATTTTTTTTATAACCTTTTGTCACTTACCAGAAGATTGAAGCATTATATGAAGTTGCTTTAAAAAGCGCATACAATTATGTGAGTCCATGAAATAACCCCTGATCATTTTAATGTTGCAGTTGGAGCAGCTTTGTGATACAGTCAGGTAAAATATATATTTGTGTAGTGTACTTTAATACAACTAGTGTTTTTTTGTACAGGTGGCATATTTGACAAGTAGTTGATTTGCGGTGAAAGATGACAGAAGTGTCCCTGGCAGAAATCCTTCTGATAAATCAAAATTATTATACTGAAAAAAGAGGGCAGCAAGTATAGAGAAGTAGTATATGATTATATAACCTGCTGAACATAATACTGATGGAAATATTCTGCATCAGTTGCTATTCCATATATTTAATCTACCATTTCTGCAAGTTTTTTCCAGTCAGTCGATACCTTATATCCAGTAAATCAACTGTTGATAACTGTTGTTATCAATACACTTCTTTAAGTGACAGTAAATTATAGTATTATTCTAGTGTGGCGGCTTTCCCTGTGGGCTGAACTTGTCGACAGGGGCACTCCCGATCTTCAACTTGTTACCGAGCTGGTGCAGGCGGTGCGCGAGGTCATGCACTGCACAGGTGCCCAGCGAACAACCTTGTCTTCTTGACTGATTGCCTGAGTGTTTAGACCTCTTGGTTCGGACATTGATGTCAGTGCTGGAGGACAGAGGGAGAAGGAGAGAATATTAATCCATGCTGTTCAGTCCTGAGTTGTCAATGGCTGAGTATTCTCTGCTTAAATTGAGTCTTCCTTTTCTATGACAAAAAATATATACAGTGGGTACGGAAAGTATTCAGACCCCTTTCAATTTTTCACTCTTTGTTTCATTGCAGCCATATGCTAAAATCAAAAAAGTTCATTTTATTTCTCATTAATGTACACTCAGCACCCCATCTTGACAGAAAAAAACAGAAATGTAGAAATTTTTGCAAATTTATTAAAAAAGAAAAACTGAAATATCACATGGTCATAAGTATTCAGACCCTTTGCTGTGACACTCATATTTAACTCACATGCTGTCCATTTCTTCTGATCCTCCTTGAGATGGTTCTACTCCTTCATTGGAGTCCAGCTGTGTTTAATTAAACTGATTGGACTTGATTAGGAAAGGCACACACCTGTCTATATAAGACCTTACAGCTCACAGTGCATGTCAGAGCAAATGAGAATCATGAGGTCGAAGGAACTGCCCAAGGAGCTCAGAGACAGAATTGTGGCAAGGCACAGATCTGGGCAAGGTTACAAAAGAACTTCTGCAGCACTCAAGGTTCCTAAGAGCACAGTGGCCTCCATAATCCTTAAATGGAAGAAGTTTGGGACGACCAGAACTCTTCCTAGACCTGGCCGTCCAGCCAAACTGAGCAATCGTGGAAGAAGAGCCTTGGTGAGAGAGGTAAAGAAGAACCCAAAGATCACTGTGGCTGAGCTCCAGAGATGCAGTAGGGAGATGGGAGAAAGTTCCACAAAGTCAACTATCACTGCAGCCCTCCACCAGTCGGGGCTTTATGGCAGAGTGGCCCGACGGAAGCCTCTCCTCAGTGCAAGACATACGAAAGCCCGCATAGAGTTTGCCAAAAAGCACATGAAGGACTCCCAGACTATGAGAAATAAGATTCTCTGGTCTGATGAGACCAAGATTGAACTTTTTGGCGTTAATTCTAAGCGGTATGTGTGGAGAAAACCAGGCACTGCTCATCACCTGCCCAATACAATCCCAACAGTGAAACATGGTGGTGGCAGCATCATGCTATGGGGGTGTTTTTCAGCTGCAGGGACAGGACGACTGGTTGCAATTGAAGGAAAGATGAATGCGGCCAAGTACAGAGATATCCTGGAAGAAAACCTCTTCCAGAGTGCTCTGGACCTCAGACTGGGCCGAAGGTTCACCTTCCAACAAGACAATGACCCTAAGGACACAGCTAAAATAACAAAGGAGTGGCTTCGGAACAACTCTGTGACCATTCTTGACTGGCCCAGCCAGAGCCCTGACCTAAACCCAATTGAGCATCTCTGGAGAGACCTGAAAATGGCTGTCCACCAACGTTCACCATCCAACCTGATGGAACTGGAGAGGATCTGCAAGGAAGAATGGTAGAGGATCCCCAAATCCAGGTGTGAAAAACTTGTTGCATCATTCCCAAGAAGACTCATGGCTGTACTAGCTCAAAAGGGTGCTTCTACTCAATACTGAGGAAAGGGTCTGAATACTTATGACCATGTGATATTTCAGTTTTTCTTTTTTAATAAATTTGCAAAAATTTCTACATTTGTTTTTTCTGTCAAGATGGGGTGCTGAGTGTACATTAATGAGAAATAAAATGAACTTTTTTGATTTTAGCAAATGGCTGAAATGAAACAAAGAGTGAAAAATTTAAAGGGGTCTGAATACTTTCCGTACCCACTGTATGATGGCCAAATGGAGACAGTTTGCAGACTTTCAAGATAGCATGGTGAATGTCTTACCTGGAATGTGGCAGCAAAGTATCCCTGATATCTTCTGGTCTGACAAAGTTCTCAGACTCTGCTGTCTTCTCTACTGATACACTGTCAAGATCCCGTCTCAATCTGCTCCCGAGCCATATGCTTCGCCTGGGAGAGGGAAACAAAACTCTTAGTTAGTCTTAGGTAGATAATTCAGCAGACAGCTGTCACAGACTTGGCAGACTGTCACATCTTATATCAAATGAAAACATTTTGATTGTTGACTGGATTACTCAGTTAACGCACATTTCTTTCAACTCCGGATTCACTTGAAGCTCCACACAGTGTGCTACTGTCGCCAGCAGACAGCACGAGAGAAAGGACTGGAAGATCAATTGCATTTTGACTCCTGTGGAGAGTAGAGAAAACATGTTAGTTATTTATTTATGCCATGAATTGATATTTAACTTCATGGATTTCCTCTTGTCCCTCAGTGCATGTAAAACTCCCTCATACAGTATTCCTATATGTGCCACACTGGTACTTGCTTACACAAGAGTCCAAAAGCCAAGTTATTTGCACTTATCGTTCATTTATTTAAAACATACCTGTAATTCTTTGACAAATATCAGATGGATGGGAAAGATCAATCAGCTGTAAAATAGTACTCCACAGTTCTCTTGAAATTGCCACTGGTTCTGTGAGGCAGCTGTGTCACTCTGCTAATAGCTCCTACACACCAGACTGGGAGCCTTTATACAGGAGGTGGGAGGGGCTCAGGACAGACACACACACAGTCGCTCATCCTTGTCCCCCACCCCGTCCAGTGCACTCTTGTACTGCTCTTGTAGCACAACGCAACACAGCAAAAAGATCAAGAATGGAAATAGAAATTAAAATGGAATAAAGGAAAATAGTTTTGGAATAAGTGCAGTACATCCTGTGTATCC